CAGGGACCCGGACCGAACCGGAATCGAAACCGAAAACCGTTCCGTAACCCTTTTTTTAGGTGAACCGAAACCGAAACCGAAACCAAATTTTATAACGTTTGTAATACCGAAATTGGAACCGGAACAATAAAATGATTTTCGGTTTACGGTTTTTTTCGGTTCTTCTTTCGGTTTTTAATCTACAGTTTTACTATACCTAAAGCCGGTCTCATATATTATTACTATGATTAGCCTCAGTAATCTTAACCTTAACGCAGGATTCATGAAAACGCTTGATCGGCAAGATGCGACGATAGCCAATAAACTTACAACTACAAGTCCTAACCTAAGGAGTAAGGACTCTAAGAAGCTGATTGGCTACTGCGTCGTATGTTGCCGTACGGATCTCTATTGTCTCTAGTTTTCGTGATTGATGGTTAAGGTTAATTGTTGCATCATTCATCATTTCGTATTGTGCGGTGATTAATACTGTTACACATCATTTCACATCGTACGAAATATATTGTACTATTTGTCGGCAAAAATATTGTTCCTTGAATTTATTTGGAGTTTGTCCTATATACACTTTCGTAAGTTAATTTTAATTCAATATGTTATATTTGTTTCAAATCTATTTACATTTATTGTGAAGTACCTCAAAACTGTATGTTTATTTTTCCAGAAAATAAATCTTTGTGTAAAGAAAGCTCTATTTTAATTAAATTAGATGTAAACATGGGCAGAAAATACACTAATAAAGCCCATAAACATTTTACTTATAATAAAACAGAAGATACGTCACATTGTACTATTTGTAAAACATCACTAAAGGTATGCATTATTTCTATATTCTCTATTTTCTTATCGATATATTAAATATACATTCAGATTAATTTATAACATATCATTTATGTACATATATGTTTATAAAGTTTTAATTTTATATTATGTTAGGGTAATCACGGTACAAATTTGAAAAAACATTTAATGCGTAATCATGAATTCAAAGAAGATTATTTTACTGAAGTTACTTTAATAAATAAATCAAATAAGTGTAAGGAAGTCACTAATATATTGCAAAATCAGAGAAAAATACAACAGCAAATAAACGAGATGAATGCAATAAAATTAAATATAACGAGAAAAGACCTCGAAAATAATTGCATAGAGTTGGTGACAGTAAATGGAAGACCATTCAGTATTTTGGACGATTCCGGATTTCAAAATATTGTAAATCCAATTAAGTGTGCAATAGAAGAAAAGAATAAACAGAAATTCTCTATTTCGTCAGAATCTATACAAAAAAAAGTATTT